AGTATCAATGGTCTATGCCAATCTTATTGCCGTCCATGGTCCATATCGATTCAATAATCAATGAATCATAGTATCAATGCTCAATGGTCAATCAATGAAATCAAAATGAATCCGTACGATAATAAATCAATTTCAATAAAATCCATCAATATCAATAAATCAATCGGAAATCGATAAAATCAATGCATATCAGGAAATCCATATGATTGCAATATCGTATACATTGTAATTCCATACAATGTCTTTACTCGACAAGCACAAACACTTAGTCATGATCATTGATGCTTGTATGTAGAAATTCTGTTAAGATGCTGATGTAGAATCCATATTGCTGTTGTTAGATTATCCCACCGTTGGTTCTATAAAGAAGGAGTCGTCACTCTTTTTAGTCCGTCGGGCCGTCCGTCGGCATATTAAAAACTCCTTATAAACTCCCAATCGTTATATCGATGATCTATGGTTTAAAGGAAAAGCCCGTCAGCCCACCATTCATGTACAGGTCAATATCAAATCTCCAACCTAACGTTCAACCAGGTTCCCACTTGTCTATTCAGTAAACAATCAATCAAACAATAAATCGATGCAAAAAGCAATAATAAAGAAATCTTATGAACGATCATATCAATTAGTCATACACATATCAATGCCAATCTATCAATCTCAGGAAAATCAGAAATCATACGAAAACGGGCCAGAGTACGGCAGTCGGTCAAAGTACACAAAAAATCCATGCAAAAAGGCACAAATTCCAAAATTCTCCCAAATATGCACAAAATAGAACATTCATCGACATCAAAATACAACGCACTAAATTGTCCCCACCGTATTAGAAATCATAATTTCAAATCAAACAACTGATATATTTTTCGTATGATCGATCTTATAAAATCGCGTAGGATAAATAAAACCCAACCGAGAAACCAAACTTCCCGACGTAGTAATAAATCGTCCTCCGTAGAAATCAGCAAAAAGTCGTGTTACAATAATACAATATCCTATAACATACTAAAAGAATCCAGTGTGCGGTTTGAAATGTGTTGAAAAGTGGTGCCAAATCAAAATCATGTCGAAAAAGTGGACTACGAAAACACAAACACAGATACAGCAACTACGTTAAAACTCCAATATTTTAAAAAATAGAAATTGGATCGAGTCCAGTTTACCACGAGATCTACACTTCACAAATCCCAACAGCAGCGATCGGCGAAAGAAGGCTCCGCGAGCCTCCAAAACCCAGCTTATTCATCATTTTTCCTTTCTCTTTCTCTCTCCTCAAAAATATCTGATTTTATAAACAAATGATTTCTTCTCTCCTCAAAACGAGCCTCATTTCCTCATATCATTAGTGGGATCGGCTCGGCCGATCGCCACATCGTCCCGGGACGATCAGACCAAAATCGATCGTCCTGGACGACTCCAAGAACTATTCTCAGGACGATATTTTCTACAGTGCCGATCGTCCTGGACGATCTCAAATCGTCCTGGACGATCCTGAGAGGAAAATCCAAATCAGAGAGAAACAGTAAGGGAACGAGGTCTCACATCCCTCCTTTCCGTTAACGGTCATCTATGTAATTTACAAAGTTTCCCTCTGTCGTTTAATGGTTGAAATTGTGACATGGTTGTTAATTGTTATGAAGTTGTAAGATCCATCATCCCGTTAAGTGCCATCATACTAGTCTTATATATATAATATATTGAGCTTCTTCTAAGGAGAATGTGTCTTCACAATTGAATCTTATGGCTCCTTAACTATTATTGTGTGACTATCTATCTCATTTCCCATAACACATACAGCATATTCTACTCACTTTTAGGCTAAACCCATACAACATCATAGCCTCAAAAACTCATTGATATTTCTTTTGAATGTTGGCTTAATCCAATGGTATACATGCTCCCTATGTAAAATCAAATATAGAAAATTCAGGAGATCATAGATTCATCAGGTGGACGATGTTATGCCTCTATGATTATAGTAATGTTCAAACCTGCATAACTGGTGTAGAAGTCAAGTAACCTATTGAATTTCTATATTTGAAGTCACTTGCATATGTCTGAGAATGATCTGTGTGCGTGAAAAATATATGCATATGTTCTGAAGTGGGTGAGGGGGGTCTAAATGCTTCTATATTTATCCTTGTATATGTATTGATTACAATACAAACACGATCAATATCATCATGTGGGATCATATGTTCATGTTTGTTCTAATAATCATATAATCATATATGTAGTATGTTGATAACATCCTCTCGAGCAGAATCTTTAACCCTATTCTTCCTCTTCCAAGGAAGGGCCATGATAGGGCCCAACTGTAGTAGTTCCTTCTAAGACATAGTCAATGTATGCAAAGGTAGGATTATATGTATCATTAGGTTTATCTATGTCAATGCTATGCGTGATATCATTATCAATATATATTTTCCATCATATCATATTAAGACATTATTGTGTATGGCTGAATAGTAATCATGTAATATTATCATGTACATGACTATGATATATATAAGTATCATATCATTATCATGTATGTTAGTATTGTTACAACCCAATTCGATATGACTCACAAATACATGTTACATCATGTTGGATGGTAATAGAACAATGACGTGATAAAATATACTAAGATTTTTTTTTTGATAAATATTTGTTTTATTTTCAAATAACAGAGGCCAAAGCTTCTAATTATTCCACCATACATAAATTTACTCATACATAAAGATTTCTTTATTTTTATATTATTGATAAAATTATAAAGTATATATTCTTGCTATAATAGTCCATGACAAAAGACATGCTGACACAAAACAAGAAATACATAAATGTCAGGACTATTTAAAAAATATAAAAAATAAAACAAAAAATACCTATACACCAATTAGCTCAACAAATTGGCATATTTCCTCTACCCCGACTTGAAAATGAAATGCATAATATAGAATGAGCTAACTCAGCTCAGTAGATTGTAGTACCCAAATCATTTCTTAATAATTGCAAAATCAATAACTTAAAATAAACTAATTATTCCAATCTTAATAGTTGACTTATAGTAGAGTGGTGTCATAATAGTATAAGATTTTACAAATAACTAAGCAAGTTACAAAATAGAGAGCGTAATATGCTGAATAGAATGTAAAGTATGCTGAATGAAATATAAATAAAAAAGCAGTGCATGAAAAAAAATAACATAACTCCAACCCTTATGTCTTCCATTTAGAACTTTGGACCCTTATGCCTTCCATTTAGAAGTTTAGACTTTTATGACTCCCATTTAGAATGCCTTGCCCTCAAACCTTCCAGCGCACTCGACACATTCAAATTTTTTATAACAAAACTCCATAAATATGTAACATATATAACTCCAAATACAATTCCTATAGAACTCCTTATATATAAACAAAATATCATATAAAGATGTACAATACATCAATTATATTGTATAACATTATAATTAAACATAATTTGGACTATTTAATGAATTTAAAAAAAATTGCCTTTTGAACAGCATTTTAGCAGTCAAACCTAATACAATATAGCTAAAATTTACTGACTCAGAATTCCATCATATTAACAGAGATTGTACATAATTATATTTTAGAGGTTTGGTTGTTTTACAATACTATTCTACAATACTATTCTTCATTGCATGGATATTTTCCAACAGTTTTAGAAAAATAGCAATTCAAAAATATTCAAAAGAAATTTTATTAAAAAATACCTAAATGTCTATAACTATATTCTCTACAATATACTAAAAGTTACATAGTGAATGTTTCTCTATTTAAAAATTATCTGGAATTGAACACTATAAATTTATATTTTAAATTAGAAAAATCTTAAAATCATCGAATTATTTAAATCAGAGATATGCAAAATGCAACCTATCTCGAGCCGGACAACCTTCAGAATGGGCAGTCAGCAGAAAATGACTTGAAGCGGCAAAAAAACTTACTTTCTCTCTATAGATATCCTCGTATCTCTCCCTAGCTAGTTGTTGCGATTGGGTGAAATGTCATGATTTAATGAAAAATTATATTTTTAATATAAAAATTCGGTTGAGAACATTAACGCCCAATCAAGCGTGCTCCCCTAGCACCATAATATGATAATTTGCAAAAATTTAGAGAGCTCACCATCACGTGATTCAAATTCGTATAAATAAAACCTATATGATTATGTTTTTATTCTAAATTGGAGTCCAAACACTTGTTTATTCTTTACCTATCAATACTCCATTTTAGTTCCCCAAATATATTTGAATATAAACTAAATTATTAAGACCTAATTTATGTTATCTCACTTATCCAACATGGCCCAATTAGTCAATTAATTAAAATTTTAATTAAACAAAAACATGCCCCAATTAGTTTTTTTTTTTATTTAAAAAAGCATGCCCCAATTAGTTCTTTGAATGCCTTCTAACTAAATATAGATTATTAAAATCTAAATCATATTATCTCGCTCATAAAATATGTCGTAATTAATTTCCTAAATAAAATTGCACCTCTTATGTGTTAAAAAAACTTACATCATATTATATCACTAATAGAGTATATCATAATTTAGTTCTCTAAAAATCTTTGATTAAGTAGAGGTTATCAAAGCCTAAATTATACTACTCATAGAGCATATTATAATTTAGTTTTTAAAATAGATTTGAATTTATGTTTAATTTGGGATGATTTTTTTACTGCTAATTAAAATATTTTTTAGTACAAAATTTAAATTTTTTTAACAAAAGTCTCTTTAAAAAGTCCCAAATGGAGAGGGCAAGAAGGTAATTTTAGCGATTAGGCGTTTCCACACGGAGCCCGAGAAACGCGAATCCGTTTGCGAGCGTTTGGTCGAACCACCCGCAACTACCGCTTTTCTCCTTCTCATTTATACTTATTTATTTATTTTTATTAAATTATACGCACAAGTTCTACACCCTATATCGTATTTAATAAATTCAGGAATCTCTTACAATATCTCATATAATGGAAAATTGGAAATAATATAAGATGAAACTTTTACCTTTTTCCGGTTTCTGAGAACTCCCTCCCGTTCGGCACTGTCTGCGCTTCCGTTCTGAGCCTTCCCTCGTTTTCTTCCTCTCGTTCCCCTTTCCTCACCGCCGAAGCCTTGTTTTCCGTACGGAATGCATCTCGCCGTCGCCGAGAACCGCCGTGTCACCGTGTACAAGATTGTTTCTCTTGGTTGCTGATAAAAACCGCTGAATTTGCCGTCTACGTTGCCGGTGATTTGCCTTGGGGTTAAAGATTCGGATCTCGAGGAGATTTGGCGGTGAGAGAGTAATGTGGGATCGGTAACTGGGGAGGACGGCGGTTTCCCTTACTCTTTCGTTGGGGATTGTGCTCAGGAACTAGCTTCGGTCGCGCCGCGTAGGATTTTATGTTTCCTATTTCAATCCTTGGATGGTGGTTTCGCTTCACTGATCGGCGGATTGTGGAGGAGTTTCATTTGGCCGAGATCGTTATGAAATGGCAAGAGTTGTAGATCTTACAATTCTTTTAACCTTTTTCTTTGTTTCTTGATTTTGTGTTCGCGACCTGTGCGTTTTTATATTTTCGACTTTGCGCAACTTATTAATTTGTGCATTTTTTAGTTCTTCCGTTATTGATAGATATCAGAGTTTTTACTCAGCTTTATGACCAAGACGGTTTTTTCCTCCTTTCTATTTTTAGTTAATGGTGTTTTTTTTTCTTTTTTGATTTTCTATGTTATGCTGGTTGAAAGACGAGAGAGAAAATTCCTATTGCATTTCCTCTAATGATTGATGTTACTTCTCCTGCTGTAATTTTCTCAAACTTGCTGTTGAAATTATTGTACATTTACATGAGCAGCTTTTCAACAGTAGAGAATTTGAATTTCGTGAATTCTTTCGCCATTTTTGTTAGAGCTGGGTTCAGCTAATGGATGGCGGCTAGCTTGTTTTATATTGTAGTATTTCAGTTTTTGCAATGGCTCGCGCCTTCAATTTCATCTTGAGTTATTAGGAACTACTGAGAGCTGTTGATTTATGGATTACGGCATGTTATGCTTTGCTTGTAACTTGTTCAACGGTTTTACTAAATTTTCTTTTCTGAATAGTGTTTTCGTCCTGTCCCGTAGCTTATAGCTTCATGGGTTCATTGCTGAATATTTCTTAAATTAATTGACGAGTTCATGATGGCTATTAAAGCATAATACATTATTCTACTCTGCTATGCTGCCTATCTTGTAATGTTTGCTCTATGGAATGCTCGGTTCCTTCCTAGTTTGGTTTTTTTGCTGGCATTCCATGTTTCTTTGCCTTAGGAAATGAAGCCTGGACAGAGTTGTATGTTTCCTTTATTTATTGCTTTGTTGATCTTGGTTCATCTTTTGAAAATACATATTCCTTACCAAATAAAATTTTGTATTGCCAAAGGCCCCTGTCATTATTCAGGTAAAGCTCAATTCTTCTAGTTTCCTCTACAAATCCTTACTCCCTGGATTATTCATGTAACAAGTTAAATCTCCCTCTTGTTATTAAACATAGATTATTTATTTCTCACTGTATGTAGTTAACTATGATATTCTTCTTTGACAACCTGTGCTTTTCTCGCTTGAATTCCCCTATCTGGATTTGCTAGCCTAGAAAAGCGTATAATACTGACTCAGGAATTATGCTTAAAGCGAATAATACTGTATCAGAAATTATGTTTGAAACAAAGTCATACTTAATTTACATGCAATCTAAAATCACCATATTTGGGTTTTTTTATCAGCTGCGGCATATTGACTTTTTTCAATTTGCATCTTACTCATTGACAGGTGGAGGGTAGGTCATGTTTGTCTGGAGAGGTTAGAAGTGGTTTAGAAATTTTGAAGCGTAAGAGACTTGAGCGAATGAAGTTTTGCACTTTTCCTGAAACAGCTAATGCGGCAAGTACAACATCTAGAAGTTGTGGAGATGCTATCAGAGCTCCAATATCATGTGGAAATAGATCACATGGCATTGCAAATGCATTTTTCAATGGCAGTGCTTCTTCAAAAGATGCCTATTCAAAGCGCAAAGTTGAATGCTTTGATATGTCTAACTTGGAATGGTTAGATCAGATTCCAGAATGTCCTGTATTCTGCCCAACAAAGGAGGAATTTGACGATCCATTAATTTATCTCCAGAAGGTTGCGCCTATAGCTTCAAAATATGGTATTTTTCTATGATATGTGCTTGCTATTATTGCATGTTCATGAGGCAGTGTACTCACTATGAACTATAGCTCTAAAAGGAATTTCTCCATTCCTTCCATGTAAATTTCCTTAGCTTGCTTTGATGATACAGGCCAGAGGAAAGTGACTACAAATGCATGTTTTCTTGAAACTCTTTAACCTAAATCTATGTTGACGTCTAAGCCAAAATTCCCTTTTCAATTATGTTCTTTACTTCAGCTTCATGTGTTATTTTTTTTGAAATTTTTTTCTTCTTTCTTTTTTATGTATTAGACGCATCGTTGATTCAGCATTCCTGCATCTATTTTTTGCCACCTTTATATCATGTTTTATTTTCTTACTAAATTCATGGATTGCTTTTCTGGCCGTACATGTTTGCACATGTTACATTCTTAGTAATCCTCTTTTGAGTGAGTTACTATTTACGGACTGATGGTAGACACTATTATCTCTATATTCTTGCTATTGCTATCTGTTATGTCAGGGAATAATAGATTGAATGGTCTGAAAATTCTTGTGATATTGTTGTCATCTTATTTACTTCCACTGACCAAAAGTATTTCGATAATACCAATGTTGATGACTATTTTAAGGCTGATATATTTCAGGTATCTGCAAGATAATTTCCCCTATTTGTGCTACTGTACCTGCTGGTGTTGTATTGATGAAGGAGCAAGTTGGATTCAAATTTACTACTCGTGTGCAGCCTTTTCGTTTCTCTGAGTGGACTACGGATGACAAAGTTACATTTTTTATGAGTGGAAGGTGAGTTACATGTTTGTAATTCCTAAACTTTTTGGGTACCTATGGTTTGTCCTGATAGATCTCTGTTTTGCCCTAGGAAGTATACATTTAGGGATTTTGAGAAGATGGCAAACAAAGAGTTCACTCGAAGATTTTCCAGCGCTGGATGTCTCCCTTCTAAGTATGTTGAAGAACAATTTTGGCAGGAAATTGCTTTTGGGAAAACAGAGTTTGTTGAGTATGCTTGTGACGTTGATGGCAGTGCTTTTTCATCTTCCCCTAATGATCAATTGGGGAAAAGTAAATGGAACTTGAAGGTATGTTCATTTTGGTTACCAGTGCCTTTCCATCTATTTTTCCAATTGTGTTCATTTTGGTTGCCAGCATCCTGATCAACAATATGCCTTGACATTTTGTCTGTATTTTTTCACTACTTTTGCCTCAGAATATTTTGTTTTGATTTCTTATTTGCATTCAGAAGCTTTCTCGTCTTCCCAAGTCTGTGTTGAGGCTTCTGCGGTCTGCTATTCCTGTAAGTAAACTTTCAACATTTCGCTTTTTTCGCATGATTCCAAAGGGCATCTTTGACGTCTCTCATTAGAAACTTTTTCTACTCTCATACTTTTTGTTTTTTGCTGCAGGGAGTAACTGATCCCATGCTTTACATAGGAATGCTATTTAGCATGTTCGCCTGGCATGTTGAAGATCACTATTTGTATAGGTTTGCAGAGAAATATTCTACATGTTGGTTATTGACCTCTCTTTTTTCACTGTCGGAGTTGGTGGAATGATGTTTTATGTTCTTAACAATATCTTGCAGCATCAACTATCATCATTGTGGAGCATCTAAAACTTGGTATGGAATCCCTGGTCATGCAGCTCCCGACTTTGAAAAAGTGGCACAGAAACATGTCTACAAACGTGAGATTTTTCTAACTGAAGGAGATGATGCAGCTTTCGAAATGCTTCTTGGAAAGACTACCATGTTTCCTCCAAAAATTTTGTTAGACCAACATGTTCCTGTTTATAAAGCTGTACAGAAGCCTGGAGAATTCATAATTACTTTTCCTCGAGCTTATCATGCTGGTTTCAGCCATGGTACGATAATTGTCTTCATGACAGCAATGAAGCAAAATCTTATCTGTCCCAGAAATGTTTTTTCCTTTTTTAATGAAAAACTGCTTGCTAAATTAACCGTTCTTTGTGTTCCTTCAGGTTTCAATTGCGGTGAAGCTGTCAATTTTGCCATTGGTGATTGGTTTCCTCTTGGTACTGTTGCTTGCCGGCGCTATGCACTTCTTAAAAGGATGCCATTGTTACCTCACGAGGAACTACTGTGCATGGAAGCAATGCTCCTTTTCAGGAATTTGACAAATTTGAATTGTAAAGATTCTGATTCAGGGAATGAAGAGTTGTTCAACCAGAATTGGGTTAAGGCTTCCTTTGTGAGCTTGATGAGGTTTCAACATCGTGCCCGCTGGTGGCTCATGAAGTTGGGAGCTCAGGCTTATTACTCTTCGAATTTTCCAACAACTATGCTTTGTGGCATCTGCAAGCGTGATTGCTATGTAGCCTATGTCACGTGTAATTGCTATAACAACCCCATCTGCCTTCATCATGGTATTATTCTTCCTGATACATTATTATTTTTTATCTATCTTGTTAGTCTTCATAATAATATTGTTTCTGATCTGTATTGCAGAGAGTGAGATAAGAAGCTGTCAGTGTGGCTCTAATCGCACTATCTTGTTAAGGTCAGATCTTTTAGAATTTGAGACTGTAGCAAAGAAATTTGAGCAAGAAGATGGGATAACAGAGTTTGAAAAGCAATTACAGGAAAATGAATTCATTTCATCACAGCCGAACGTTTTTCTTTACCCTGTTGAGGATGGTTATAGTCCGTTTTGTGAAATACGATTTGAAGAAGGTAAAAAAAGGGATGCTAGAGAAGAATGTAAAACAATGTCAGGATCAACTTTTTCTTTGCCAAAAGAGTGTTTTGCACTGAATGAAGTAAGATTCCCATTCTTTCTTCCTTTTACAAAGTACAAGGGGTTCAAAAAAATTAACTTTGCCATAAATGTTGGTATGCCATTAATGCACTAATGTCACACTGCAGCCATGTTCAACTTCAGATAGAAATAACACTTATCAGAAAATTTCCCAGAGCGAGTTAATTTATCCACGGAGATCTGCTGAATCAAATGCAACTGAAATGAGTATTGCTGGATTTGAAGCTGGTTCCCACACTGCAGCTGTACAAGATTTTGATGATTCGGACTCTGAAATATTCAGGGTTAAGCGTAGGTCTGTTATAAGTTCAGAGGAAAAAGATAGAGCAGATTCAAGATTTCCTGAAAAACTGGTTAGTAATGAATCTGTGTTTACTATATTATCTGTTTCTTATTTTAATTCCGTTCGTGTGTGTTTTCCTGAAAGTTAGGTGAAGAATATTTATGAATGCCCATTGAGGAAGGAAAAGCTTTCACTCTCTAATCTCTATTAGCTGCTTTCTCTAGATCATACGAATGCTTTTATTTGTTACATTTGATTTTGGTGATTAAATGCATACTGTTCTCCGAGTGTCATTAAAATGACCCTCCTGACGTCATCTAATGACAAAGACAAGCAATTTGTAGCTTAAGGAAAGAACTTACCTTTAGTGAGTTTTGGCGATGAATCTGTTAAGGTCACAATAAAATGCATTTCTGTTCAAGCTTCTTTTTTCCGTCAATGTCTTACGTAACTCAATTATTCCTCTTTTCTCTTAGCAACACTTCATCTTTCCGGCGACATTTCGGCAGACTATGTGAGTAGTGGATGTATTCTTGATTGGGAAGGCTGACAATTTATGCATAGATTGAATTGGCCTTACCAGTGTGCTCCATTGTTAAACTTGAAAGGGTGATGTGGGACATTTTAGGGACCAAAGTTTAATAATAAGATCTACAATGAGATTGCAGAATTCTGAAAGCACATGCAAATTCACTAATTATAAAGTTCTAACTATGACAATTTTATATTACTATGGTTGAAATAAGAAAAATAGTCCAACATTAATAATAACTTGATAACTTTCTACTAGAAATAACACAAATTTGGAACCCTAAAAAATCATATGATTCGTTGAAAACCATGATTTTACAAAAAATTAGACTGTATCTAACGTGAATAAATTCTATTCATCATGTAAACCAATTATAAGATTTGGAAAAATATGGGCTGAAGGAATTAATCGTCAAATAAGCTTCCCGCTTGTGATGTAGATACTCGCAAGAAGATGGAAAAACAGAGAAACAAGCAAGCAAAAACAGAGAACAAGTTCTGTATTGTGATATATTATCAAAAACTGCTTCCTCCAGGAGACCCCCCGCGGGTTATAAGCCTCCCACACTTCCTATACTGTAAACGGCGTAAAGCTAAAAAAGCTGAAAAGTGTACTATGTAACTAACTATAGTACTAAGGTAGTGGAAATTCCACATTCTAACATATACTAGGAATAAAAGGGTAAGATACTCCTCCAGGTCCCATATAAGCTAGGATGCTCTGCATCATTTGCCCCCGCCAAGAAAATTGTCTGGACTAGCTAAATCACAGCACCCACTCCCACGTTGGATGCATCCGTATCGACGGAAAATGGCTTGTCAAAATTAGGTAGAACTAAAACTGGTGCAGTGGATAAAGCAACCTTGATGGCTTCAAAACTTCCTTGTTGCTCCGCCAACCAAGTGAACTGAGCTTGTTTAAAAATGTCAGTAATGGGGGCCATGATAATACTAAACCCTTTGATGAAGCGTCGATAAAAATTAGCTAGCCCATGAAAACTCCGGATGTCAAAAAGAGAGCGAGGAGTTGGCCATTCCACAATAGCTGTAACTTTCCGCGGATCCATGCTCACCCCCTCCGCTGATATGATAAATCCAAGAAACGACACCTGCTTGGTTGCAAGTTCACACTTAGACAAGTTTAGAAATAACTTGTTCTGCCTCAATATAGTAAAGATGCTCAAGAGATGCTGCATGTGATCCTCCATCGAAGCGCTGAATACCAAAATATCGTCAAAGTAAACTACACAGCATTTGTTTAGACAAGGCTTCAATGCCTCGTTCATCAAGCGCATAAAAGTTGCGGGAGCGTTACATAAGCCAAATGGCATTACTTTCCACTCATACAAACCTTGGCGCATTTTGAACGCCATTTTCCATTTGTCGCCCGGTCGAATTCGGATTTGATGATATCCGCTCCGTAGGTCCAGATTAGAAAAAAATATTGGCTCCCGACAACTTGTCAAGCATGTCTTCCATCCTCGGTATTGGAAAACGGAACTTGACAGTAATTTTATTTATGGATCGGCTGACCATTCACATCCTTCAACTGCCATCCTTTTTCGGGACGAGGAGCGCCGACACTGCACATGGACTAAGACTTGGTTGGATCAGTTGTTTCTCTAATAGCTCATCAATAAATTGCTGCAAGATTTTATGTTGGTTGGGACTCATTTTGTAGTGGGGCATGCTTGGCAAGGTAGCTCATGGTGCAAGCTCAATCTGGTGTTGAATTGCTCTCATGGGAGGTAGTTCCGAAGGCAGTTCAGATGGACAGATATTTGGAAATTGCTGTAATAGAGATTTAATCTTAGCACATACCAACTCTTCTTGGTTTGGACGGTTCTGTTTTGTGACTATTAGAGCCATAATGCAAGTAGACTCACGCCAAGCATTGACTAGTGCTGATCCCGATACCACAAACAATGCAGTTTTGGTTTTAGGGGTGACTTGCTGCTCATTCACTAAAGGTAGCAATCTTAATTTTTTTCCTTTCCATTCAAAGGAATAAGTATTGGCCGGACCATCATAATTTGCCCCGACATCAAATTGCCACGGCCTCCCCAAGATTAAGTGACACACGTCCATATCAACCACATCACAAAGAACTTTGCTGGCATAGTGACGGCCAATAGAAAATGCAACTTTGCACATATCAGTTACTGCTATTTCGACTCCCCTTTTAACCCAACTAATCTTATACGGGTTTGGATTTTTTTAATTGTAAAGCTTGCACCACCGCACGCGAAATGACATTCTCCGTGCATCCGCTGTCAATAAGTATATCACAAACCTTCCCCTTGATAGTGCACTTTGTTTTAAACAAAGCATTTCGTTGCGACTCCGTCGGCTGTCGCGGAGCTAACAACAACCTTTGCAACACCCAAACAACGGCCTCCCCTTCATCTCCTGCCACGTCTTCAAGATCTTCTTCTTGACCGCCCACTGCACTGTTATCTCCCTCTTCATCTTCGGCTTCTAACAATTGTAGCTGAGGTCGAGTCGGACACTCATTGGATTTGTGACCCTGTTGGAAACATCTAAAGCACTTGATATTGGTCGGCTTGGTATAAGGGTTGTCTTTTAATGGAGCCTTATTTCTTTGATAGTTCCTGGGATCAGCTGCTCTTTGCCCCATGTTAGGGGGATGATTTACTGCTGTAGCCGGTGACAATGGCTTAGCACTAGAGGCCGAACCATATGATTGCTGCTTACTGCCTTCGACAAATTGCTCCGAGCTTTTTCTGTGTGACCGATTGCTGCTGTGTCTGGACATTTGCATCTCGGCCTTAAGTGCGTAGTTCACGGCTTGGGATAACGACCAAATTGCATTTAATTCTAATTTATCTTGGATTGCATCTTTCAATCCACCAATGTATCTCACCACGATTTGATTTGCCGTCTCATTTAAATTATTTCTAGCACTGAGTCTATAAAATTCCTCCGTATAATCATTCATGGTTCTCGATCCTTGGGAGCAGTGTTGATATTGCACGTACAACATTTGCTCGTAATCAATAGGTAAAAAGTGTCCACGCAATAGTTGCTTCATTCGAAGTCAATTGCAGACAATACCCTTTCCTTCACGTCTCCTTGATTGGATCACTTGTTGCCACCACGCACTGACACCCCCTTTGAGCTTACACGCAACATACTTCACTTGTTTTTCTGGATCAATCTCCATATACTCAAAGAAAGTTTCGACTGCCCTTTCCCAATCTAAATAATCTTCAATGTGCAATTTACCATAAAAAAATGGTATATCAAGTTTGACGCGTAACTCACTGTGATGTTTGTCTTTGGACCATGGACGTCGTCTTCGCACCATTCCTGGATCCTCTTCGGAGTCGGAGACCTCCAGGGTATTAGAAATTTCCAGTTCTTCTTCAGATTCCGAAACTTCTGGAGCTAAGTTATTCGGCAGTCGCTCCCTGTCTGCAACGAACCCATGCCTCGTTGCCGGTGTGGTTGCCGGCGGTAGCATCTGAGCGGTTTGGTTTCTGTCCAGACGTGCATGAATCAACCGTAGTTCTCGACGCATTTCGCCAAAAAATCGATTGACGTCAGTTGATAGAGCTTCTGTCATTCTTGCCAAGTTGGCATGTTCAACTCACAAGGCTTCAAGGCTGCGATCTTCACCGGTAGCCAACCATTTGCTGCCCTCAGCCATCCTTGCTCTGATACCAAATATGATGTGGATACCTGCAAGAAGATGGAAAAACAGAGAAACAAGCAAGCAAAAACAGAAAACAAGTTTTGTATTGTGATATTGTCAAAAACTGCTTCCTCCAAGAGACCCCCCATGGGTTATAAGCCTCCCACACTTCCTATACTGTAAACGGCGTAAAGCTAAAAAGCTGAAAAGTGTACTATGTAACTAACTATAGTACACAACTCTCCTTGGCCTATTGGTTGAGAGCTTAGGCTTCCAACTAAGAGGTCTAGGGTTCGAGTCTATGTGTATGCCTTGCGTATGTGAGTTTGCCTTAAATGGCCTAAATGTCCCAAAAAAAAACTAACTATAGTACTAAGGTAGTGGAGATTACACATTCTAATAGATACTAGGAATAAAAGGGTAAGATACTCCTCCAGGTCCCATATAAGCTAGGATGCTCCGCATCAGCTTGTCAATAAGGCTATGCCATGGTGGGAAATGATTCCTACACCTTCAGGGAGACAAGAAATATCATCGTAGGGTTTTCCATCAGCTCATTGTGATCATCTTCTTCACAAAGTATCAGAGCATTTAGGGCTATCTAAGGTTTGGAGGATTACCTACACTAGAGATTGGTTCAGTGGGTTATAAGAATGCAAGAGCTTTGTATCGATGAAAATGAGGCTTTGCTTAAGGCTTGACCATTTGCCTCCTCGCGGATCTATCTAGAGACTAATAAGCCACCACAAGATTGCTGGAGCTTGATCTTCCTGCACACTGGAAGGGTTAGGAGGGAGGTGTCTTATTCAGCTATTCTATCTCGAGCTCTTATAACAAATTTCATGTAGGACATTTTAAGTTTCAAGGATTTTTAATGCAAATCT